GTAATACTACTGAATGTTCACGTTTAAATGATGTTCAGATCCGATTTATAGCTTCACACACAATGCTGTGACAATATGCATGGTCTCTTTCGTATTAGAAAACAGGAGGTCTTTGGTTTACGACGTCCTCGACCCACTGCGTTCTTCTCCCATGAATTTAAGAAAGTCTTGAGCCATAATTTCGTCGTGAGACGTTAAAACAAATCTCACAGGGACGTATTCGTCGGCAAGCGCAGTAGGGACACAATCAATCTGAGTGGACCAACAAAGATTTGTTTATTATTATAATTATTATTAGGGATGTTCGCTATTATCGACACGATACTAGCATAAGTATGTAATATCTGTAAGAATCGTTATCATTTTTCCCTCCAATAATGAAAAACCCGATAACGCAATGCCTGGGTTTTGCCAAATGATGTGTGCCCTAAAAAATGTTTGGGGAGAAAAACGGTAGCATATTAAAGTGTAAGTCACTAGATGGCAGCATTGCAGCTCATTTAATGAATCTTTTTTAATAATCAGTGGATTGTATGTAGAATGCTGGTACCAGCAACTCAGATAGATGTACAGATAAACAAACAAATATTACCAGGCCTATATCGGTATTGGTTGATATCGGAATCGGAAATTAAGTGTTTGGACCATAACGTAATATCGGCAAAAAGGTAATATTGGACATCCCTAATTATTGTAATTATTGTTGTTGTTGTTAATGATAACTATTAATGTTATAGTATCATTTACTACAGCAACGGATGCAACCTATTGGTTTAAGCAAAACAACAACATCATTCAGATGTGTGTGTCCTTCTACAGCTTCCGTATTGCTCCTTATCTGACACAACACACTAACACTAGAAGTGCTGGAAGTATTCCCTCCTTCCCCAAAGGTCAACAAAAGGATAAAAGAACCAGGCGTCTATTGATGAGATCTCCACTGCAATTTGTGATCTGTCTGGAGATCCAGAAGCACAAATGTGAACAAATGCAATGTAATCCACCCACAATTCAAAGGGGGAAACATCGAGCAGTCGTCTTCGTATTCTTCACCTAGACTTTAGAGCCTTTGTATTTTTTTACAGGTCTTTTATCTTTTCATCTCCTTGCGCCTCAGCGGTCTCTACCTCACATGTTAGTCACATGTTACTGCGGGACGTTGTTGATCACAGAGGCGAACCGAAAGCTTCAGGCGTCCTGTCACTCCCAATCACAGCGGCAGGAGCAGCAGCAGCCACAGTCAGTGGATGTGAGCAGAGCGGGGAGGACAAAGGCAAGGACGAATCGTTGGGAAGAGACAATATACCGACAATAAAATGAGGGCTCTCTTATGTGGCGGGCTACGAATGTACGAAACCCTGCACTATTGAAATTATAATTATATTAGTGGTGGGACCCCTACTGGACGGAATTTCATTTATTAACCACGATTGTGTTTCATACTGGAGTGTGTGCATTAGCATAGTTATTTTAGACATTATGGAAGTGAACAGAATGCATGGTGCCATTGTCTACTGGCTAAAACAGTGGTTCTCAATTATTTGCCCCCCCCCCCCCCCCAGGGTTCATCTTGCCCAGGAGGTGAACCCTGGGGTTTCACACCAATGACAGAGACATTGCCTCTGGGCCAAAGTGCCACATATATAAATATATACATATATATTTATACACGGTATATGTTTGGGTACAGCAAAAATGCATGTAGCACAATCTGATTAAATTCTTATAGTATATGGTCACTACCATACAGTATAGCATTGTACATATATAAATATATATACGTATATACATAGTACATACATATATGTCTATACATATTTATATGTATATATATATGTGTGTGTGTATGTACTGTATGTATTTATTGCCTGGTCGACTCGTTATTACTTGTTATTACTAATAATAATGAGTAAATAATGCTCGTTAATTAATGAACACCAACATACTGTATAGTTTAAGTCAATTCAATAATAATAATAATACAATTTTGTTTTTAATTATCATTGTTCAGCCCACATATATGTATATTTAATTTTTTTTTTTTTTTTTTTTGGATGTCTACCGATCTACTGGTAGATCCTGATCTCCCCCCAGTCTATAAAATGGCCATAAGACATATTCTTCAGGATATATATATATATTTTAAAAATCTTAATTCTTATGCTATTATTTTAAGGAGAACAGTGCACTAAAAATAACTTTATTTTCTGTTTGTACCAAACATTAAAACATGCTTCCCTTCTGTAGGATGCCTGCTTGAGCGCCTCCATTATCCGTAGCTTCCAGTTGCTACCGCATTACACAGATAGACAGCTCTGTGTAGACGTTTCGCAGTCTATTTTCATTACACCGCTGTCGCTAACCTTGATTAGTCAATGTGGGAGTTTGTGCCCGAGGCTCCAATGCATCCTCATCAACATTCTGACGGATTACAGAACGTACTGCTCGGAGCTTTTCTGAAATTAACGACACCAGTTTATACCTGCGCCATGTGTCGAAGGAGGGGACACATTTGTGTTCGGTTGAAACAGCCAGTGGGGATGTGTTAAGAAAGAAAACATTATTCGTGGTCCACGGTCACGGGTCCATGGCAGTGCTCAAAGTCAGAATGCTTAAAGTCAACGACAGCGGGGTTTGTTAACTGCTCCAAAGCGGCGATCCCTAACCTTTTTCAGCCGAAAACAGCTGGTTTGTGGACCGGGCTGTTAAAGGATAGTTAAGGCTTTTTTAAACTTTATTTTGTTAGTATTGGTGACTGAGAGACATGTTATTATTTTTTTAAATATTTCTATATATGACAGAAGGTAAATGGAAATCAGCAGATGCTGTTTGAAATAACAAAATTATGAATTATTTCACTGCGGCCCTATGCTAAATGATCCATGGACCGGTACTAGTCCACGGAGCGGGGGTTGGGGAACTCATTTTGCCTCACGGGTCGTGCTAGTCCACGGAGCGGGGGTTGGGGAACTGATTTTGCCTCACAGGTCGGGCACAACTAATTAGACGTCAAATGGGCCGGATGAGAACAATTCGAACATAATTAAGTATAAATAACAATAAGTTTTCCCCCTTTGTTTTACATGGCAAGTATATTAGATATTTATTTGTATTTATCCCTATTTAATAAAATCAAATTTTACATGAAATATCCCTCACATTGTGTATTTTTGTTATTTTCAGAATTCGTCAAGCGGTCCGGATTGAACACCCAAACGGGCAGGTTTTGGGCCGCGGGCCTTATGTTTGACACCCCCGATCTAAAGAGACAAGAATTCATTACTAGGTCAATATGAGCCGGTCTCTTCTCTGTTTGACTTTGCATATCTCTATGAAGTACATGTCCTCAGACATGTACCAGGCCTGTAGACATCTGTGCGCCACATTTTTTTCCGAGGATGACTAATGCATGCAACATGCAATTTGAGGAGTTGGCCTGATAAGTTTGACTAAAAACTTGAACTCTAGCTAACACAAAAGCGAATAGAGAAAAGAGCATTAAATGCAGGCGTGTCAAATGTACGGCTCACGGGCCAAGACCGGCCCGCTAGGGGGTTCAATCCGGTCCACTTGAAAAATGTTGATAGTTAAAAAAAAAAAAAAAGCACAAACAATGTTCGTGATGTTTTGTCAAATTATATTTCATTAAATATGAATATCTTCTAATATACCTGTACTTATTTGAATGACAACAAAGGGGGAAAAAAAAAACGTGGACTTGTTGTTATCTATAGGTAATTATGTTATAACGGCACTGGTCCGGCCCACTGGACATCTAATCAGTCAGATACTTATACTTAGAGACAGGGATACAACATTTTCATGTCTGATACTGATACTGCAACTTGGAGTATCTGTCGCAATCGATGTCAATCCGATACCTTCTTTTCTCCTCCATCATGCCGACATAGGCATAAGATCAGACGGGCTATAGTTTTTTTTTTCGATATTCGATTCTGCAATTTTAGCCAAGATCGGAATACCAATCCAGAGTATCGGCAAACAACTGCGATCATGTGACTGTAAAAGGGAAACTTATGCTAAAATGTCTCTAGGGTCGCCAGGAATTTGTGAGGTTAAAATGTGGTCATAACCCAAAATAGGATAGGGATAGAGTTAGATGGCGGACGCACAGTGGCAAACGCTAAAGGAAAGAGTCACCGTAACAACAATTGCAACCTCATCGTCATCCTTTCGCCCCAGCGATCCATTGCCTGTTGGTGCTGATCTCAGTAACTGCCGCCTAGCCTGGCATCGCCAGTGATCTGCACTGCAGTCCTTTTCTGGTTATGAGCATCCCCTGAAAACCTCTCTGTGGAACTATTCAGTGTGAGCTTCACAGCGCTGCACCACCCAGGCTGTGTGGTGAACCGTGCCCCCCCCCCTGCGGAGCCACCTCCACGCCCGTCCTCTCTAATGTCTCTACAAAGGAAAAACTACACTACTTTATCCTAAACTTAAAGGAACAAAGTTATAAATACACTTCAAATTCCATTTATTTTTTAGTAATCTTGGAAAGCACATCAGTCAAATGATAAGAACAGAGAAGACTGAGAAGCTAGAAATCCGACTCTGAATCAGGAATAGTTTATTGATCCCAGGGGGGAATTGTTGGTGCTACTGTTCCGGACGATTGAGCGCACCTGAATATAAGCCTCACCCATCCATCCATCCATCCATCCATCTCTCCATCCATTTTCATCCGCTTATCCGTTACCGT